TTTTAAAGTTGTAGCAACATTTGTCTCACAGACGAACACAATACACAAGCCTGATGATGGCAGATGAGATTCTGCCGAAATGTTGCTACAACTTTAAAAGCACAACTATAATGACGTGGGAAAATACCTGAACAAAGCTGAATACCATACATGTAAGCACCCGTGAAAACATATATATATATATATATATATAATTTTAACCCTATTTAATTTTGTTCCTTAAGGAATCATTATTGTATGGAAGGATTGACTCAAATTGCCCATTACATGAATTGCTAAGTATATTTGGTTTTATTGAAATAGAGTTATGTGAGGGAGAGAAAAATAGTGATAGCAATAGCACTTAGACTTATATACTGCTTCATAGTGCTTTACAGCCCTCTCTAAACGATTTACAGAGTCGGTATGCTGCCTCAAATAATTGGCCCTCATTTTACTAATCTGGGAAGGATAGAAGGCTGAGTCACCCAGGATTGAGCTGTTCAGGATCAAACTGTTGGCAGTCAGCAGAATTAGTCTTACCACTATGGCACCATGATTTTTAATGCTAATGATAAACATTAAGGCAAATGATAGCATTCCTTTCCCACCCAGTTCCACTAGGCACAATATAAGGGCACATATTAGACCACAGGTAAAGTTGGAGAAAAATATACCGTGTTTCTCCAACAATACGGCCTCCACCAATAGGAAGGCCCAGCATGCTTTATCGGCATAAAATCAAATTAAGCCCCTCGCCCCAAATTAAGGCCTATATTAAACATGTGAAATGGGGGGAATGGGGGGGAGCTTGCTGTTAGGAAGTAGTTTTATTTCATACCTGGATATGGTGCTGCCTGCATTGACTTTGGCGTTGGTGGGGCACTTCGTATTGGGTGGCCTTCCACCACCATTGCTTTCCCTTCTCCCTTGCTGCCACGGTGTTTAGAGCAACGCCGCGACATTTGGTGCAGCGATGCGCAGCCAGTCAGGGCTCCTCCCTGCAACTGGAGCCCAGCAGAGACACTCGGCTTCAGGCGCTCCTGTTGCCACCTTCCCTTCGCCTTCAAAGGCAAAGCCAATTCTTTTAAAAATGACACCCTACTACCAGTATGAAAAAGCCTCCCCTGCCCGAGAGGGCAGCCCAACCCCATGTGGGGAGGCGAATCTCCCGGGGCCGCAGCACAGGATCGGCCCATCCCAGGAGAAGCCACCATCCCTGCCTGGCGCAAGAGTGCGAAGAGCTTCGCTTGGAGTACCCAGCGCAGCTGACAGGCAGGCCCTCCTGCCCAGTGGTGGAGCTCTCACCAAGGCAGCGAGCACCTCCCCGCTGGACTCTCCACTCGTCCTGCCAGGGCTGCGCTAGAGCTGTGCAGGCTGGGCAGAGCCGGGAAAGCAAGCCACGGGTGCACGCCTGTCTGCCAACCAAAAGAGCCAGGCTGACCTGAGCTTGGCTTCCTTCCCAAGTCCCTCCAGTGTGAACCCAAAGGGGCCACCGGGAGAGGCTGCCCGAGGCAGTGATAGCGCCCACCCATCCATGGACAGGGAGGCAAGGTGACGGCCTGTGCTGCATCCTCCTCCAAGCTGAGCCCCACCGAGTCAGTGCCTCTGCCTGATGCTCATTCCGCTGCAGTGTTTGGAGCTGCTGGCACATTTGGAGATGCACGGGGACGGGCTGGGCGAGGGGTGGAAAGGACAGGCAGCTTCGGGCTCTCTCTGCCGAAGCAGCGCTGCCATCACCTCACCTCCCTGTCTGTGGACGGGTGGGTGCTATCATTGCCTCGGGCTGGATTGGGCTGCCCTCTCAGGCAGGGGAGGCTTGTTGTAGTAGGGTGTCATTTTTAAAATAATTGGGTTTACCTTTGAAGGCAAAGGGAAGGTGGCGACAGGAGCACCTGAAGCCGAGTGTCTCCGCTGGGCTCCGGTTGCAGGGAGGAGTCCTGGCTGGCTGCGCATGGCTTTGCCAAATGCCATGGCGTTGCTCTAAACACCACGGCAGTAAGGGAGAAGGGAAAGTAACCGTGGCAGAAGGTCTCCCGATACGAAGTGCCCCAACGCTGAGGTCAACATCCAATCTGTCGCTGCCTGCCCACCCTAGGGGGAGGAATTAAGTCACCCCCAAAAAGATGGCCTAGCCAATTTTTCGGGGGTCAAAAAAAAATAAGGCCCGGCCTTATTTTGTGAGAAACACGGTAGGTGGAAAAGTTCAGCATCTATTGCAACACCCAAAAATGGCCAAATCTATTTTTGGCTTTTCAGAAATTGCTGAACTATAAGAATCTCTTTTATCATTAACCATTCTAGTTGGAGATTCTAACTAATAACTGGAACTCGAAAGCCTACATCTGGGTTAAAATATCTCTTTCCCAACTCCAGTTCTTTCTTCCTGAAATGACATTACAGTTTTTCGGGGTGGGGGGGGGGAACAGTCCAGCCACAGTATAGTAATTTAAATACAAACCTTCTATACCTTAGTTATACAAGGTATTTGAAATCTGGAGGCTGATGGTGGAAGGAATGGATCTAGTGCAATTATGGTCATCTCCATTCTGAGAGTAGACTGAGACATAAGTAGGGCTGATATACAGTTTATCAACTAGCCTCCCTCCCCAAAGTTCTCCTGATGTGTTGCACTGCCACACCCATAATGCTCAATAAAATACTGCCAGGACATTGTGGAAGCTGAAGCCAGCTAGAGGGAAACAAATGGAGAAAGGCTGGAAGAGAATATGGACTATATTTAAGCCACACAGAAGAATTGTTTTCTTACACATCTTCCTTGCATAAAATACCTTGTTCTCAATTCACTAGAGGAAACCAAGGGCAGTATAGTAATAATAGACATGAATGTTCTCAGCTTTATTTTATGAACTGCATCCATAAACTATGCAGAAATAGATGTATACACTTGGCATGTCATTTTGTCCTGAATTCCCTATCGAAAACTAAATAAGGTTTGTGGGTTGATTTGTTTTGCAGTGCCAACGAAGAATTGATGACAGTTGATTCCAATCATTGTATTCCAATCATTAAAAAATAAAAGTCATCTAAGATAGACTGAAATTCCATCAAATATATCATCCTAATTTTTATTTCTCTCTGGGTAGTCAATAAACAAAATCAAAGAAATATTCTTTGATCTGCCACTTAATGCTCATTGATATGTTCCTACCCAGTTTGCCTAATCACCCTTTTAAATAATCCAAGTTAATGACTATTGTGTGTTTTGTGTCTTTTGATGGTGAACAATGAAACTTAAATCAGAGGTCTGTAATTTGATTTTTCTAGAACAGAAGAATAATGGGAAAAAGTTTGGTTCTAACTCATTATTCATAATTAGTCAAGGAAGTCAATTTAATTTATAGTGTTCCAGTGTCTTCCCTTGATACAATATATGAACACTACAAATGAATTTTAGAGTTGATATTTTATTCTATACAACCAGAGGTGGTATTCAGCAGGCTCTGACCAGTTCTGGAGAACTGGTAGTGGGAATTTTGAGTAGTTTGGAGAACTAGCAAATACCACTTCTGGGAGATTTTACAGTATCCTTCCCCTGCCACACCCACCAAGCCATGCCCATAGAACCAGTAGTAAAAAAATTTGCATACCACTGTGTACAATATAATTATATTGTACACATTATTATTCACCTTTAAGCCTCTCTTTCTACTTCCAATACATTATAGTATTGGAAGTAGAAAGAGAGGCTTAAAGGTGAATTATAGATTTCTCTCCTTCTTCAGTTAGTTATTCTCAGATAAAAGTGTTTCTACTGACTACTGTGAATTTACAAAACATAGTGTTCTATTGGTAATGTGTTTGTGAGTGGATTTTGAACAAGTGCCTTCAGTGACATCATTGAATGGTGTAGTTCTTGCTATCACTGGAAAATTAAAATGATTATTCTTTAAAGCACAATTATTTTACCTAAGCTCACTTTGAAAATAAACAGCTATTCACTCAAAACAAAACACAGTCTATTGTCCAGAAATAATATTTATTCATTGACCTTAAAACACAGAATAGAAAAAGCTTTGTAAATAAAACTATATATATATATAATATATGTATATGAATGCTTTATTTTTTATTTTGTACTTCACAAAAAACACTACAGACAATAACAAAATATTTCAATTCATTTAAAAAAACCCTATTTTGGTGGCCAATCTGCTTTGATCAAGGTGTTTCAAGATTTACTGTTTGACAGTTTTTATTTCATAAACTTGTTTCTTAAAAAAATTGAAGCCATTTGTTATTTGATCAAGATTTCAAACATTTAGAGATACTCACAAACCACAGAACAGCTCATAGGAGTTTATACAGACTGTTCAGTGCCAAATCATCCATCACAGTGACCAATTGAGACACAAAACCGAACTACTTTTGCACCTGAAGGAGTCATCTGGACACAATCATTTTCACAAACAGTATAAAGCATTTGCTGGGAGCTCACAGATCTCACCTGTGGAAGTTTCTGCAATTGCTGATGTTCAAAACTACATGCAGACACTACAGGAGCAGCTATAGTTGAGGTCCATGAGCTCTTCTTTCATACAAGTAGTATTACTCATGAAAAAGGGGGTGCCAGAATTCTTGGGGCAAAAAGCAGCTAAGTATAATGCCTGAACATGCCTCAAATTCTTAAAGAAAAGTAAATCACAACTGAATTGGGGTAGAATTTAATCCAAGGAGAACAATAATTTTTAAACAACTACATGTTTTCCACTGCCCTTTTATTAATGTGTTCTCTTCCCTTTTCAGACTTTTCCTGGTTTAGATATTCCAGAACTTTTGTTAACATCTCTTCATCCATGTATGGTCTGTTCTGGGTGTTATCATTCTCTTTAACCATTGGCAGCCTTTTGCCTAATAAAGTGAATGTATCTGGTTCATGACTTCCTATTTGGTCTAGATGGTCGTGTTCAGATGAAACTGTGAGTGGAATTTCTTTCTTCAGACCTGTATTGATAACTTCAGGATACTTTGTCAACATCTTGGCTAAGTAGTCTGACAACTCTTCTTCTTTTCCCTTCAATGATTCTTGTTTCATTTGTCTCTCTAAACGGTTAAGCCAGGCCACTTTGGAAAGTATATTTTGATCAGAACTTGCAGGCAGGTACCATTTTGGCAATCCATTTTCTTGATTTATTTGATGTCCAGGATAAGGAGGTTTTTGATTACCAACATTTTCCATCCCTAAAAGATTAATAATGTCTTCAACATTCAGGTCTTCTGGGAGGTTATCTTGCAAAACATTAAATTTTTGCTTTTGATAACCACGTAAGGAATTAATCTTATTTTTGAATAAGTCTGACTTTTCTAAATTAATCTCAGGGATTTCATCAATATCTTCAGTCAGTTCAGGTTCTTCTTCCTTTTCATTCTGATGTGTATCTCCAGATTTCAACATTTCAATTAAATCCTCAGGTGGGATTTGTAAATTTCTTGAGATTTCTATCAACTGATAAACTGCTTGAGGATCAAGCTGTTTTTCAAAGTATTTGACTGCCCTTTTGTCTTCATTTTGGTTGATTCCCAATATATTATCTCCTGGTCTATTCATCATCTTTTTCAAATAATAATCCATCAACTGTGAAACATCTTCCAGGACTTGATTTTTATTCTCTTTTTTCAGGTCATCTTCCAAGGTACCCGCTCTCTTTATTTCATTGTTTATCTCTTCATTTTTCTCAATTTCTCCTTTACTATCTCTTATTTCTTCTTGAGTTTGACTTTCCACTTTTTCCTCTATTGGGTTCCAGTCCTCTCCTCCAACCACATCTTCATAAGCAATGTTATTTCCTTTAAAAGCGTCATCTTCCTCATCAGCGTATAGCTTTTGTTCCTCATTAAACCTTCCTTTGTTTAGAATATGAGGTGCCATCATTTTTCCCAGCTCCTGAAATACAGATTCTAAGGTGGCAAGACTTTGAGGTGTGTACTGTTCTTCTACTATTTCATTTGTTCTTTTATAAGGACTATCTCTTGAATTTTCTTCAAAATAGGTATGTGGAACCTCAAAATTTTTATGTGTTGGAGCAGGCCAAGTACGATCATCATAATCATCCATTATTCCATCCAGAAATATATTGTCTGAATTCAGGGGATTAAGTTTATTTTCTTTTGAGACAACTTTTGATTCTTTCTCTCTTTGTTTTATGGTTTCCAACATTGTCTTAACCCACTGGGAATCATCTTCTGGGAAAAACTCCCTTTGGTTGTTGGGTAAATAGTGTTGGCTTTTGCTTTCTTTTGACTGTAGAACAAATGGAGCATTTTGAAAGGAATTATAATCTGGACTTGTTTCTATATTGCTGGTTTGTTTTCTTAGATTTTCTATGTATTCCAGAGCTTTGATCATATCTGGGCTTGGAAGCCTTTGTAGGTTTTTCATTAGATAGTCTGGATCATTTTGAATGTTTTGAAAACTTTGAAATGAAGCAGCATTGGCATAAGAGATTAGCAGAAAAACTTGGCCAAGAGGCAAAAGTATTCCAAGCCAGGAGATTTTATCAGCCATATTTGAAATGTTTCCTTAAAATAAAGAAAAAATGGAAAATTAACACAAAGAGATACATTTTAAATATCTTATATTGTCAAGTATGGAGAGCAATAATAATTCTAAAGTAATTTATAAGTTACTTCAAGTTGAATTGTATTTGTTAAGTTATGTTAAGAGACCAGAAAAATGAAACTCAATTAACCATAGTCTATACAAATAGTTATAACTAATGGTTTGCATAGAAGTTATTCCTTTTAATTTAGTCTCACGCATGAAAGACCAAGTCACATGAAGGTCCAATTAAACTGATTTATTACTAAATAGCCTATGCACACAAATATTCTAAACTAATGGTTACCTTTTCTTGTCATTAGATAAGGATCCATAGAATTCAAAGAGGCTTGGATTTAGTATGTTTGTGACTATATAGGGATTCTAGGCTTATCCTGCTTTTAACTCCATCCCCAGGTTTAACTACTCCTTGTTCTGTTGTTCTGTTTCCCTAATCGTTTGAGGAAATAGTCTTAGATACTTTAATAAATAATCATGAAGTCTATCTCTAATTTTTAAGTTATATTTTATGTGGGACAACTCTTATTTATTAAACAATAATAGTGAGTTCCTAGACAGACACTTAAATTTCTTATATTATGTATTTTTATGAATGTAATACTTCTATTAATTTTGGACAAAGTGTTTTCAGAATTTAAAATGGTTCAGGGCCATCAAGGTGTCTATGAACATTTGCCTTAATGTTTGCCAGGCTTTTTGGGCCACCTTATCTTTTACTTTTTTTTAAGTTGAAAAAAGGAAGTTGACATTTTGCTAAATTCAGGATCAGCCACTATCATTATTTTTAGTTGCAAAAATTTTTGGGGCCTCAATGGGTGCCATAAATTTAATGAATGGTTACATTCCAGTGTTTGTTTAAAAGTGTACTTACTAGCCTAGAAAAGGGACAAACTAAATCAAAATCCCTTATGTTTGAGGGATCTGAAGGATATGGCAAGATTCTGATAAACTTGTTATTTCTAACTGATTATGTCCTTCCATAGCATTTGTTTTCCTTTAAATGAAGATGCCCAGCCCTTCTAGCAGCCATTTTGTGGGAGTATTCATAGCAAATTTTCAAAATTCCAAATGTGCCCACTAATCCAAAATGGTTGCCATCAAACAATAGTAGTGATCACTCTGCAAATAATAAAATAATAAGCTCTGACTTATTAATAAAGTAAAGTTGGAGCAGTTGATAAGTAGTGTTAGTAAATAAACACAATGAATATAACAAATGGGAATAAATATTTGATGGAAAATAAATCTCTATCTCTGTCACTAAATATGTATAGCATACTCCCAAGTGCAAAATTAAAGTAATCTTGATAGTCAATCCAGCTTTTTCCCTTGACAAAGAATATAGATTTTAATTGCTTGCCTAGATTGTGTTTTTATAATGCTTAGCTGTGCCAGATTTATCCAGTGCATAAACTAGAAAAACTAAGGTAAGCGCTTAATCAAAATATAAATATGTTCATAAAATATTATATCAAATATTAACAAATCTAGGTTTTCCTATCTACAGTTTCATAGAACATCTCAGTCTATTGATTTACTCATTCCAAAACATTGCACTCAGAAAATAGAACCTCAAAGTAAGAAATAACCAGACCTTAATAAAAATGAACTAGACTTCTAAGATAATTTATTTTGAAATTTAGCAATATATTTTATTGTTTTATCTTTAACAGAATAGCATTTCACAAAGAAAGATTAGCAAATATCACTCAGACTGAAAGGTTAAATGTGCTTTCTTAATATTTCATCATATGTATGCTGTTAAAAAAAAATATTTTTGTCTGAAATGCATTTAAGTAAGCCTACTGTTCTATTCAGACAAGGCAATTCTGAATAGAACACTAAAACCATCTGGCTTGAATAAATCATTTGCTAGACTGTGGCTATTTGAATTGGTAAATAAGTATTTCATATTTATGTTAATATGGTTATGTTAATAGTGGGAAATATTTTTTTAAAAAAAATCATGTTTACAAAAAGAATACAGACAATACAGTACACAGTCCTCGTGTGATTTAACCATTCTAAAATGATTGATCCAAGATATTTATTTATTCAGAGTTATAAATGTTACCTCTATAGCACTTGGCTGTATCATCTTTGGGAAAAACAAGTAAGCAGAATAGTGGATTGAATATTGTATAAAAACTGTTATTGTTTTTGTAGAAATGGAATCTTTCCTCCTATTTTATATACAGACAATATATATACATGATTGTCTTTTTTAAAAAAAATGTTTTTGGATTACTGGGCTAAAAGGACAAAATTCCTGTTTCTTTAAATCTTCCTGAAAGAAATTCTAAGATTTTAGAAAGGAATTGAAATAAGCAGACCAGATAAAAATTAAATCCAGAATGGATGTGAAATAGTATCTACCTGATTCAACTTTTTTTTCAGTCCATTCATTTTTCCTTGTCCCTTCTACACTTTAAATTATCCTGTTGATATAGTAGTGGTTCATGAGGTAGAGGAAAAAAAATTCAGTAATGCTAGTTTACCTTACTATGTTCTGAGTAAATACACACACACCACACAAGGCTTATTATGCCATTCAAGCAATTATAGACTTGGTTTGCAGCACAGCATGACATGATTTTACATATTAAGCTAATTAAAACACTGTAACAGAATTGCTTTATTTTTCTCAACAATGCTCCAAGTAAGAATTTAGATTAATAAAAATACTAGTTACTAATCTGTTAATTCTCAAGACTCTATACAATATCATTTCAAAATAGGAGGGAGTATTCTTTCTTTGCCAAGGTCCTTAAAAGAGGATAGTTTTTCTTACTTTACAATAAACATTGCAGCCTGAATGCTTGAATGGCTTTAGTCAAATACGTTTTATATTCTAATGACCAATGACAGCTTGTGGAATAAATGTAAATGAGATAGCAGATAAAGTAAAAGCAGATAAAGAAAGACAAAATGTGACTTTTAGTATGACATCCAATTTTAATTCTAGTTAAACATAGAGAAATCAGTAGGTCTTTAATTAAGTCCTAGTGATTTTAGTGAAGTTGTCTGGATTTCACTATAGTTGACTGGAATATTAGCAAGTTAATAGCACAATTTTAAAATTGTTGAACTGATTGTCAGTTGCTTTGGATTGTTTCTATATATTTTAAACAAAACTCTTGTTTTTATCCTGTATTCTGGCAGACACTCTGAACTACAATTTTGCTTTGTAATGAAGATGTATTGATAATGTTAAGTTGCAGACATAAACAATGAGCAAAATGAATCAAAATTTTACAGTATTTAAAATAGCTTTCTTTTATCTTATATGCTCCAGTTGGTATATTTTTATGCTAAAAGTGCCATCTTTTAATTAAATGGATAAATGGAAAAAGAAAATATTTGTATTTATTTGTAACAAGGACTTTCCATCCTCCCTGATAATAGGTGTATTATTTTCTACTTTACTGCATGTAAAAGCACAATGAATTTCAAATTCATTTCCAGGATCTCCAAATAATTGCTTATTAGAAAACCCTCTTGTTTCCTTTACTTCTGTTTAGAAATAAATAATATCTTTGAATAGAATGGTAAAATTCTTAATATAGTCAATGGGCTGATGCTTTAAGATTTTAATATATTCAATAGAATATACTCTTTTCTGAATATTCAATAGGAATTATGCAGAGATCCAGTATACCTAGTTTATAAATTTTACTTTTCTCCAAAATTAGAATATTAGAAAATTTATCTTACATGGAAGAACAAAATGTTAGCAGCATTATGTTTTAAAATATAGTGACTTATTTCTGAGATTTAATTGCACTATCACTGACTAAAAATGAAGCTTTATAAATACATGTTTCTGAACTAAACTATCAAAACAAATCAACTATTGTTTGCTGAATAAGGTTTTTTAATAACTCTAAGGTATAATTATCAACACTCTCATTGATCTTGTTTCTTATTATTTTTGATATATAGTTAAATCACAAGGTATCAAAATATATTTAACATCTACATAAAACCCTGTTTCTGTGCAGGTAAGTGAAGTGCATCAGGTTTCAATTTCATACGTTTTCTGACTAGGTAATTTGCTGCTTCTAGCTTATTCCCTGTTGGAAAGCTGCCTACAGAGAAAATATACATTGACTCTTTCATTTGATTTGTCAGTTAAAAGAGAAAGCATATATTCTTACCTGTGTCTGAGGCAACCTAAAGCATGATATTGACTATATCCATTCACTCCGAGTTTACAGACTGTTTTCAGCACTAGGAGAGCTCCCTCTGCTTATAGTGTACATCACCTGACTCTTACTGACAGACTGACGTCACCCCAACCGGGGGGGGGGGGGAGACAAAAAACGACTTTCCTTTTGAGAAAGAACATTACAGAAAAAGCGTCATTTGGCTTCACTATTGAAGGGAAAAGGGGAAAGATTTCTTTTGTATGTTTACGCCACCTGTCTTCCTCTAGGGAAAACTGCATTCTTCTTTGCAATTAAGCAGCCCCTGAAAACCTTTAAAAAATGACAAGTCTGGTCAGCAGTTTATATATTTCCCAATCACCTATTCCATGACAGGAACCTGTAGCATTGATCTGGACCTCCTGAAAGCAGAGAAGTATTTACAGGAAACTGGCAAGAATTCCAGATTCCGAAATATTTAGAAACTGTTGTAGTAGAAGGATCTCCACTTGCACTCTGTAGGTTCAAATGGTATCTCTGAAAGTATGAAAGCTTGATAATAATCAGGAAAAAAAATGTGACAGAGTGGTGATATGATCACATTTAGTACTGAATACAAATTATTAGGTTTTTCAAAATTATAAATCTACCCATAACAGCAGGTTCTATTTGGTGACCTTAGGAAAAGGAAAAGCAAGAGAAGGATTTGATTACTACTTCTGTTTTCTATTACATTCATTTGATTTGTTTTAGAAGGAGTTCTCTTAAAGTCTGTAATGAAATTATAATGAAACACACAGAGACATACACACATGATGAAAAAATAAACCTAATTATTTTTCACTATGTAATCATAATGATATGTCTGCTAATATCATTGCAACAAACTATACATTTTAAGCTTCCATCTGTAGCAGCTCTAATTTTATTGGGGGGAAAAGGCAAACATCAATATAATCCTGCACAAAGACCTTAGATTCAGGATTCTGTCTTTGTAATAATTACCCATCACTCAATACAAAGAGTCCAACATACATGTACCCAAACCTTTCAGAATGAAGTAATCATAACAATTTGTCTTTTTTTAAGTATGAAGTCTTTTTTTAAGTATGAAGAATAATAAAAACAATGAAAATTCAAAACACATACTGGTAGGAAATTATTGGAACTGAAATCTAACACATCCAGGGTATGCGCAGTTGGGGAAAATAGTCTACATTGACTTTTAGACATTGTCCAGAGTTACAAGTAATTTGTGTTATGCTTCTGAGGTATGGTCCCTCTTTCTTCTTTAAAAAATATTTTTAAAATAGTCAGTTGCACATTATCAGTTGCAACAATTGATGGCCTGAGTAAAAGGAGCAGTAGCATCCCAAATATTAGCATTCTTAGTATATAAAAACAGAGCTCTACTGGATAAGGTATTTGCTTCAATTTGAAAGCAACATAAACCACATTGGGGCTGTTCTTTTTTTTTAAATTGGTGTTTTTAAATATATCATTTTCCCAACCTTTAATTTTAATCTAGTTTGAAAAAAATATTTTTCAGTATGATAGCAAAATATGTTCCCAAATACAAAACTATTAATATAGACTTTGCAAATCTGTTTTGAGCAAATTTTATATATCTTCCGAAGAATTGCAGAAGCCTTCTTACTGGATCAAGGAACTGGGATTTCAGTGGCAGCTCTGAGTCAGATAGCTTTGTTTGAGTCTCCCCGTATGTGTGATATGTATGTGTGTGAAAAAAGATAATGAGACAGTCTGAGTCATTCTGTAGAGAGGATATAGGGAATAAAGTAAAAGAGTAAATGTGAATGAATGGAGGAATGATTTTGTACTGTCATTTCTTCATATCCAAATAACATTTATTTTTAGTACTTCAAAATGGAAAAGAAAATCCCTTATAATGTTAGATTGATATATGTAATTATGTAGCTATAGATAGGCGCATATATGTTCACATACTTAATTTTCCATTTAATTACTTTTAACATTTTAGGAGACATTTGAGAAATACTTGTGAATAGCTACAAAGTACTATTTCAAAGAGTTATAGTTATTAAAGATTTGGGTTTTTCTGACAGTATGCAACCTCCACGAATCAACAAACAATCTACAATGATGACTTGACCAGCAAGAAAAGATAAAATGGCAACCACTCTTGATAATGGTAGAATATCTTAGTAAGGTATATAGCATAGCATTTTCTGTGGGACTCTATTGCAGAAAGTTATGGTTCCCTTTAAAATATTTAATTTTTCTAATTATAAATAAAGCAACATTATTGCATTCAAATGTAAGACAGAGCTGATCAGAAAAATGACTATATTTTAAAAAGATAAAGCTTTGGAAGACACTGTGAAGGAAGTCCTCACTGTTCTTCAATGGGGATTTTTGTTGCTTAGAATTATGTTAAATATTGGGGGAAATGACTCTATTGCTCCAGACTGATACACAGCCAATTTGCAGATACTGTACATCTAACCAGACAATACATTAAATGAATATATACCAGAAAAATAACAAAAAAATCTATGTGCATTGTTCTTTGGAGAATGAAATACAGGATCAACACTAACATGGATGATTGGAGCTGACAAGAGGTCTTGAGAAAATATAATATGGATTAAATCAAGCTCAATAGTCTTGGTTGACAGAGATAATATGCCAACTACAGCTGTCTTTTTAAATTTCTCATTCATCTATTTATTTGAGACAAGTTACAATACTTAATCTGAATATGAGTGATGATTCTGCACATGTGAATGCTTACAAATAACTTCAAAATCACTAATCCAAAACAAAATTCCAAGAATGCATATTATTTCTTTAATTACTTTTAGATGTATAAGATGATTCAGATTAATATAAGACATTTCTCTTGCTAGGACATTTTTGTGTATTTCTTGTTTCTTTAGAGAAAACTTCATTAATTCATAACCTTCAGTGCTATGATATTCATCAAACCCTGCAGTGTCAGAATGACAGGTAGTTGTGTTTCATGCCTGCCCACTGCACTTCTATCAGACACCACAAATCAGTCTGATTTATAGCCTTGCAAAGTAACCAATCAAGTCATGGAGAATTGGAATCAGTTTTGGTACAGTCCACCTCCTTACTTCTGCTTGATTTATACCCATTTGATCTTCACAGAAGCAAAAACATTCTTGCCATAGCACCAGATTGTATGGAGAAATCTGATAAACATACAGGAAGCAGTGAGGCTGTATGGGGATGGAAAACTATACATTTGATTCAAAAACTGGTTGACTGACTGAGGAAAAAGGTCTAAGGGGAAATCTATGTAGATGAGGTACATAGTGATAGTGAAAATAAGAAATATCACTTTCATACAGATAAACAGCATGAGAATTATTGCTAAAAACAATAACTGGATTGGTGAATATAACCCACTGCAGATCTGATGAAACCATCAGGAATTTTATCTATTGATTTGTTTTGTTTGATGTTCTATGAATAGTAATAAATAATTATCAACAAAAATATGTGATTTTTATGGATTTAATAATACAATAATTTCATAAATTTATATATCCAACCAAAATCTAATGAAGCTATTGTTTTAGCAAAAGCATTTTCCTAGATTCAAGAAGCCTTTAGATACGAAGTATGAGTCTTTCCAACTCTTTGTCAAAATTACTTTTAAAAAAAATGTGGCACTGGATTTCCAACTATCATGCAATTCACTGAACTCACCATGATTAACCTTCTTATGTTCTGTAAAGTTGGCTTATTGAAAAACTAGAAATCTACCTTCTTAAAATAGTGCAGTACTTTTCAAAGGTAAGCACCTACTTAAATAAACCACTTTTTTTCTCCCTTACAAAATGCCCAAACCATAGTTGAATCTCCAAAAGTCTCTTGTAATTTTAGATGTCCAACATTAAAAATGGTGGTGTGAAAATGCCAAAATGGGTGTCCTGATATCTTGAAATGCACCTGACCTTTCATACTTGTATTCCAACATCAGGTGCAAATGTATGCATCATGTGGTTTGTGTTCTGAATCATTATGCACATTGTTAGTCCCTTCTGTGAACGGCTAGGTTTATTGCAGTTTTCCGCCCTGGTCACTTTCTTCCACTTACCTCCTCCTGGATTCGATACTCTTTATTCAAACCATCTGATCCACTCCACATCTCCTTTTAGCTGTTCAGGCTTGATCCTACCCTGTTTCTCCAACAATACGGCCTCCCCCAATAGGAAGTCCCAGCATGTTTTATAGGCATGAAATGAAATTAAGCCCCTCCCCCAAATTAAGGCCTATATTAAAACATGCAAAATGGGGGGGAAATGGCGGGGGGGGGTTGCTGTTAGGAAATACTTTTGTTGCACACCCGGATATGGTGTTGCCTGTGTTGACCCCAATACGAAGTGCCCCACCAACGCCAAGGTCAACATCCAAGCCATCTCTGCCTGCCTGCCTGAAGATGCAAGGGGGGGCAATTAAGTCACCCCGAAAAGACGTCCTAGCCATTTTTTCGGGGCTCAAAAAAAAATAAGACCCGCCCTTATTATATGAGAAACACTGTACTCCAGTCTGTTCACTGGCCAGTTTCTTCATTGATAAAACTGTCAGACTCCCTTTCCTCCATTGACTGAGTACAGTTAGTCCTTAATTTACAACATTATGTTTAGTGACCATTTGAAGTTACAAAGACGCTAAAAAAATTGGCTCATGACCATTTTTCACATTTATGACTGTTGTAGCCTCCCAATGGTCACATAATTAAAATTCAGATGCTTGGCAACTGACTCCTATGGCTGCAGTGTCCTAGGGTCATGTGATCCCATTTGTGACCTTCCAACAAGCAAAGTCAATGGGGAAACCATATTTACTTAACAACTGTGATGCTCATTTAGCAATTGCAGTAATTAACAACTTTGGCAAGAAAAGTGGTAAAATGGGGCAAAACTCACTTAACAAATGTCTCACTTAACAACAGAAATTTTGGGCTCAATTGTGGTCATAAATGAAGGATTACTTGTATTGCCACCAACACTTCTTATTCCCTTGTACACCCAAGCTGCATTTCTTCCAGTTAACAGGGACTGGATGGGTAGAGTTCTGAAGGGAGAGAAAAA